CGGTAATGCTGTCCGCCACGACCTCGTGCCCGTGCCCCATGGCGTACACGACGAGCCTGAAGGAGGGTGCCATCTCGGCGCTCACGGGCACGGCCAGGGTCTTGACGGACCCGCCCTCGTGGGACCCGAAGATCCCGAGGGAAGAGTACAGGAGAAGCTCCTTTACCACTGTCTCTTATACACATCTAGATGTGTATAAGAGACAGCTTTACAACAGAACACCCAAAACATTACCACGACACCACCACCACCACCACCACCACACCACCACCCACATTATGGCGGGATATGCCGTCCACGGGCACGGTAATGCTGTCCGCCACGACCTCGTGCCCGTGCCCCATGGCGTACACGACGAGCCTGAAGGAGGGCGCCATCTCGGCGCTCACGGGCACGGCCAGGGTCTTGACGGACCCGCCCTCGTGCGACCCGAAGATCCCGAGGGAAGAGTAGAGGAGAAGCTCCTTGGCCATGATCTGAGGGTACGTGAGGTACGTGAGGGTACGAGGGGTCATAGGGTGCGAGGGGTCATAGAATGCGAGGGGTCATAGGGTATGTGGGGTCATAAGGTACGCGAGGGTCTTGACGGACCCGCCCTCGTGGGACCCGAAGATCCCGAGGGAAGAGTAGAGGAGAAGCTCCTTGGCCATGATCTGAGGGTACGTGAGGGTACGAGAGGTCATAGTGTACGTGAGGGATCATAATGTACGAAGGGTATGTGAGGGTAGCAACAGCTCCTTGGGCATAGTCTGAGGGTACGTGAGGGATCATACGGTATGAGGGGTACGTGTGGGTACGAGGGGGGTCATAGGGTACGTGTGGATCATAATGTACGAAGGGTATGTGAGGGTAGCAACAGCTCCTTGGGCATAGTCTGAGGGTACGTGAGGGATCATACGGTATGAGGGGTACGTGTGGGTACGAGGGGGGTCATAGGGTACGTGTGGATCATAATGAACGAAGGGTATGTGAGGGTAGCAACAGCTCCTTGGGCATNGGGTACGCGAGGGTAGAGGTACGTGAGGGTAGAAGATACGTGAGGGTAGGGGTACGTGAGAGGAGGGGTACGTGAGGGTAGAGGTACGTGAGGGTAGGAGATACGTGAGGGTAGGGGTACGTGAGGGAAGAGGTACGTTAGGGTAGGAGATACGTGAGGGTAGGGGTACGTGAGGGTAGGGGTACGTGAGGGTAAAAGATACGTAAGGGTAGGAGATACGTGAGGGTAGGGGTACGTAGTACTAGGTCAGGTCTGAGCGGCTGTGAGGCAGGTAGTCAGTCGTGTCCCGCCAGCCCTACAGTGAGGTTCATACCTGTAACTCACAGCGCTCTGTCGACTTGCAGTTCACTAAACCGTCAGTTTACTAAATAGTAAGAGAGACATCAAGTCTATCACGGACTAGATGTCTCTCTTGTTTAACCTCCAACCGTGCCTGTTTTAAACTGTGCTTTGCTGAAATAAAAACTACGTTTTATCCGTGTTAACTAACTTTTAATCAACGGAATCCTAGTGCAATAAAGTGCAATTTAATTTTTTACAAGATAGTTGCCGGGGTTTGGCCGTGGAGCTCTGAGCATTCTGACAAGTTTAATTAAAGTTTGCGGCAAACGGCCGGTGACAGTAGTTACTAGTGACAGTAGTTACTAGTGACAGTAGTTACTAGTGACAGTAGTTGAACTAGTGACACTCACGATGTAGTGGAAGGACTCACGATGTAGTGGAAGGACTCACGATGTAGTGGAAGGACTCCGGGTGGTAGTTCGCCCTGACGTGGAAGATGGCGAACTCGCCGACCTTGGCGTCTTTGGTGGAGGTCTCCACGGCCAGGTACTCCTTCTACAGGAGGTACAATAATGTTATGTAAATAATACTTATATCATTTGTCAATAATTAATAAGTTAGAAAGCGGTTAAATGAATAATATAAATATTAATAAATTGATTTACATGCATGTCAACAATTTCTGAAATTAATTTGAAAAACTCGGATAGAACATAAGTTGAATCCCATGTTGAAGAATAACTTGAATCATAAGTGGGACGTCTAGTACCAATAAATGGCCACTAGTGGCAAAAAATTGCCAACAATGCAATAAACAGCCCAAAATAACTAAAAAAAGGCCACTAGAGGCTAAAAATTGCCAAAAATAACTAAAAAGAGGCCACTAGAGGCTAAAAATGGCCAAAAATAACTAAAAAAATGCCACTAGAGGCTACAAATGGCCAAAAATAACTAAAAAAAAGGCCACTAGAGGCTAATAATAGCAAAAAATGGCCAAAAGTGGTTAAAAATGGCCAAGAATGGCTATAAATGGGCAAAATTGCTACAAATGGCATTAATGGCCACTACTGGTCACCCTGGTGGAGTAGTGTGCGATGGCCTGCGCGGTGGCCCCGGCCACGGAACCCTCCTCGTCGCTGTACTGCGCTGTGAAGGTCATGGTCGACGTCAGAGGTGGTACCGTCAGCACGAACTCGAACACCCCGCGGTCCCGGTACTTCTGTAACGGTACACGGTTAGTAACGGTGGTACAGGGTTAGTAACGGTAGTATGAAGGGTCATAGGGTACTAAGTTTCATAGGGTACCAGGGGTCATAGGGTACGAGAGATCACGAGAGGTCATAGGGTACGAGAAATCACAGTGTACGAGGGGTCATAGGGTACGAAGGATCTACCATCTACACTCAAAGAACTAACCTTGAACTGGACCACAGGGTACGAAGATGTCACAGGGTACAATGGGTCGGTCATAGGGTACGAAGAGGTCATAGGGCACGAAGATGTCATAGAGTACAAGGGGTCATAGGGTACAAATGGTCATAGGATACACAGGATGTACAGTCTACACTCAAAGAACTAACCTTGAACTGGACCACAGTGTATGAAGAGGTCGCAGGCTACGAAGGGTCATAGAGTACGATGGGTCATAGGATCCATAGGATGTACAGTCTACACTCAAAGAACTAACCTTGAACTGGACGTTGCGCAGGAATATCTCGAGCTTCCTGTTGACGAGCTCCTGCTCCGGCATCCTGAACAGGGTCGTGAAGTCCGTGGCGTGTCTGCTGCTGCCGTAGGGGGGCGTGTTGGGGGACGTGTCGCCCCCCGCCGTGCCACCGCCCCCCACTGGGGCACGCGAGCTGTCGTAGTCGTAGTCATAGTCGAACCTGGCGGGGCAGAAAGTGGGTCAACACGTGGGTCATGGTAGGAAGTGGGTTCTGGAGGGTACAGAAGAGGGCTTAGTTGTGGGGGGTACTCACTTGTTGCCATACACTCACTTGTTGCCATACTCTCACTTGTTGCCATGAACACATTTGTTGCCATGAACACATTTGTTGCCATACACTCACTTGTTGCCATACACTCACTTGTTGCCATACTCTCACTTGTTGCCATACTCTCACTTGTTGCCATACTCTCACTTGTTGCCATGAACACATTTGTTGCCATACACTCACTTGTTGCCATACACTCACTTGTTGCCAT